GCTTGGCCTCAGGCCCTGAATATGCCAGCCCTCCCGAGGTCCTTCCCAGAGGCACTTTGACCACCCACTAATACCTGTCCTTCCTGTGTGTCATCTTAGGATCACTCTCTGTACTTCCCAAGGTGACAAATCTCTAGTCTCACAGGCAGACAGGAGAGCAGGGAGGCAGCCAACAAGCCGGCAGGCGGGCAGGCAGCAGGTCAGTCACAGGCCGACAGACAGGGAGGAAACCAGCAGGTGGAATGGTGGCTGCAAGCCAGGCAGGCAGGTGACAGATATGAGAGATCACAGCCAGCATGACCGGAAAACAGGTGGCTGGGCAGAGCTACAGACAGGCTGGTGGGTGGGCAGAGGTAGGCAGAAAAGCAGATAGGCATGTGGCCAGGAGGGTCTGCAGACTCAGAGGATGGTCTGAGTGGTCCAAAGGCTGCGGGCACCTCTCCCAGGGCCTCAGGGAGCAGCCCTCAGCTTCCCTGAACCCTCCAGGGCAAGGCTGCCACTTCTCCCACCTGGCCTGGATTGGCCACATGCATCCCCCTGGAGAAGGCAGCCTTCTAGGGTACCCTCTGGGTGTGTCCCCCTCTCCAAGGGACTAGAAACCATCTCAACCCCAACTCTGCTCCAACATGGCCACCTGCTTCAGCAGGGTTGAGTCATACCTGACTTACTCGAAACACACAAGTCATATGCCAACCCAAACACAGACACACCTTTGTCTTAGGTAGCAATCCACATAGCACAGATGCCCAGAAACAGCTTAACACAAACATATCCAAAATCTTACAGCCCCCACTCAGAGAGGCATGCACGTGGACCCACAAGAGACACAGGTATGTGCCAAGCAAACCGAGGCACAACATGCTCAACACTTAGGCTCGGCCATACACGCATGGCCGCAGCGCATGCTGATATTCACATGGATGGCAGGCACTCAACATGTGAGTAACACCCATGGAAACCCATCCAAGTCACAGCCCGTGGTCAGATTCTGGCCTCACCGTCTCCTCACAGCCCAGTTTAACACGGCTGATCATGGCCACGTCCGGGTCCGAGCTAGGCCTTCCTCCTGTCTTCCTCCCACCTCACTGGTCTCTCCTGGCTGAGGCCTCCTGCAGGAGATCCACAGTGGAGCAACCAGAGCTCTCCTCTCCCTGTCCCCTGGGCAACCTCAGCTATACACCACCCCCCGGGGGGGTTTCAGTCCATCTTGGGTGTTGAGGAATCTCAAACACACTTGCAGCCCAGACTCCGCAGGGCCCCGCCTGCCTGTCTGCCAGCTCCACCCAGATACCTTACTGACTCTCAAATCTCACCACCAAAACCTGCTCCTCAGCTGAGCTTTCCTCAGGTGCTCAGGGCCAATATCAGGCAGCTGTCCTGCATTCCTGCTTCCCTCACAACCACATCAATCCAGAGAGTCCTGCTGATACTCCCTGCACAATCTGAGCCTGGCTCACCTCCTCCACTGGTCCTCCTGGGCCAAGCCCTCAACCACTGCTGGCCAGGATGGCTGCCAGTCTGCTCACTGCTCTCCCTGTGGTGGTCTGTCCTACACTGAGCCCCCACAGGGACCTCTCCAGAGTGCATCATGGAACCCTGACACTCTCCTGATGGAAGCTCTCCAGGGGCTCCCAACACACTTGCAATAACATCCAAGCTCCTCTGCAGGCCCGCAGACCGCTTTGCAATCACCTGGTCACCTTCTCTGTGCCTCGGCGCCCCTGGAAGAGAGGTGCCCTCAGACGCTCCTACCTCAGGGCCATCGGCCTCATTCCTGCCCCAGATCCTGTCCGGGCTGTCCGCTCTTCAGGATTCAGGTCTCCCCCTATGTCACCTGCGAGGGCTGCCCCCAGGTGTTCTTCATCACAGTCCCTATTCTATCGCCCTCTGAACACTTAGCCCCCCAAGATTATCTTCTTCACGTATTGTTTGTCTCTCCGCCTGTGTCAGCTCCATGAGGGCAAAGATTAGCATCTGTTGTTTACTGCTGAACTCCATTACTAGGAAGTGCTAGGCTGACCAGTTAGCATTTGTTGACTAGCGGCTGAATGGATTTATCCACAGACATACTCACCACCACAAAAATACTCAAGCAGATACATGAAAATAGACACACAAATATACAGATATGGGCAGAAAAACCTACATACCCGCTCACAAAACAGACTAAACAGTCACAGAGACACCAGGAGTTCCCTTCCCCTTCCCTTGGGAGTCAGTCCTAGTCCTTTCCACAGCCAGATTTGCCCTCTGCTTGAACTCAGTCTCAGGACTGGGAGTGGGGGTCTCCAGCCTGGACAGAGCTGGGGGGGGTCACTGGTCCACAGGCCTCAGGCTGCACCTCCAGCTATGTCTGCAATTTCCTCTCCCCCTTCCTTCCCTCCTCCTCTCTAAGGCTCCCGCCAAGAAGGCCTCCCCCTCACCCGAGCCCAGCACAGGAAGGGGGGCCCAAAAGGGGGGGCCTGGGAGTCTGGGCAGGAAGAAGACCCGGGCTGCATGCTGATCACACACACATTGCAGGCACAAGTCCTGAGCCTAGGTGGAAATGCATGCACATGCACTGGCAGGTTTAGCCGGGAGCCAAATACACCTCTGCCCCACGTCCTGGTACAGAAGAGCATAGGGGCCAGCAGAGGCCCTGGGCTGGGTTCTGCAAAGCTGGCCTGGGCCTGGCTTGAAGCCAGAGTCCAACATTCATTAACCCTGCGTGACCAGAGCTGGGCCAGCTGGACACACTCACCGTCTGGGCCCTGGGAGGAGGGGATGGGAGCTCTGTCCCTGGATTGTGGCTGAGGGTCTGGGAGAGGACTGACATCTAAGCTGGGGAAAAGAGCAGTCTCCCCTAGGTGAGGGGGCCTCTTGGGAGGAAGAGAAAGGTTTAGAGGAGGGGTTTAAGAGCCCAGGGTCAGAGAAAAGTGGGTTCAAATCCTAACCGTTTGGGTAAGGATCTCTCTGTGACTCGGTGATTTATGTGTCAAGTGGGGATGACGCTACCCAAGCTACAGGGTTGTTAGGATTAAATGAAAAGATATGGTCAAGGGTTTAGCCCATGGCCTGGTACCTAGGCAGAATTCCATCCTCATTATTATTATTGTTGTTATTAGTGGCCTGGGGGCGGGTCCCTGCAGCCGG